AGAGAGAGAGTGAGAGAGAGAAGCAAACGGGCCAATCCGGAAGAGAAGGTGAGGAGTGTGCAAACGACCTATCCGGTATGGGCTCATCCACACACGGCTTCGTTGTTGGTACATGCAATCGTATCAAGGACAATAAGCACCCGTTCAAAAAAAAAAAAAAAAAAAAAAAGAGGCATACTCACAGTCCGTGCCTTTCTGCGACCCGTGGCACAGATACACCGGAGATCGGGATGGGCGAGCAGCACATTCCCTACGAATACGCGATCACAGACGAGCTCGTAACAAGGATGCGCGGGCGACTACGCGCGGCATTTCCATGGTGGAGTTCATGGTGCGAAAGCAGCTTCATACTATCAGTAATCGTACACGGCTACTGGATGCCGTGGAAACTTGCCGCCCCGGTGCTGTTCCAGCGGGACAACCATGCGGGCGCACAGATCCACGCCCAGTTCACCAAACAGGCTATCTGCGAGCTCCTGGAAAGCGGCGCAGCGGCTCTCGCCCCCGCGGATCAGGCTGTATGCATTAGCCCACTAAACGTGGTGGTCCAGAGAGAGAAATGCAGACTGATCCTCGACCTCCGCCAAGTGAACCTGCACTTGCGCATTCCAAAATTCAAATACGAGGGGCTCAACCGGGTTGCGGAGATCGCTCGCCCGGGCGATTGGATGTTCTCCATCGACCTGCAGTCTGGGTATCACCACGTGGATATTCACCCATCATGCTGGAAGTACCTGGGGTTTCGATTCGACGGAAAGACATACATATTCCGCTCGCTCCCTTTCGGCCTCGCGACAGCCCCGTTCGTTTTCACACAACTGATCAAACAACTTGCCCGGCGCTGGCGAGCCATGGGCATACGGGTCATTCCTTATGTGGACGACATTCTTTTCCTTTGTCACACGGAAGCAGCGGCACGAGCCACATGCAACTCAATCATACATGACCTCAACAAGGCATGCCTGGTGATCAACTCGAAAAAGTCGCAGCTGGAACCAACCCACCAGCTGCGTTTTCTCGGAGTCGAGTTAGACACTGATCGTGGTCAGTTTTCGATTGGCGCTGAACGACGGGCCTCACTACTCTCCACCATCCAAGACCTACAAAGGGCAGGAAAGGCAAGACGCAAGGTCCCAGTTCGTCACATTGCCAAAGTCACCGGCATGCTAGCATCCATGTCCCTGGCCCTCGGGGCGACGACGCGAGCATTCAGTCAAGGCCTACTGCACGCAATTCAGCAGGCACCATCATGGAACAGCAAGGTGCCGCTTGACCCCACGGCCATCGAAGAGTTGGATTTTTGGCGCCACGAATTCGACAAATTTAATGGCGCCCCGTTCCACGTCCCCAACAGCTATGATGCCGTGATCCACGTGGATGCCAGCGCACACAGCTGGGGAGCGACGCTGGACAAGTTCTCAGGACGGCGTCTCGAGGCTAGTGCGGCAATGCCAAAGCACCTGTTGGAGGCATCCAGCACGCAACGCGAGATCGATGGTGTACTATGGGCGCTCCAAGTGTTTGCAGAGCGGATTCGTAACCAGCACGTTCTCGCAAGGACCGATAACCAAGGCGTTTTCTTCATCCTCAGAAAAGGCGGTTCGAGGCACGACAATCTCACAACGATATGCAAGTCGATCATTCAGATATGCACGACCTTTCGGATTCGGCTCATGGTTGAATGGATCCCGCGCGAGCTAAACACACGAGCGGATGAGCTTTCCAAGTCGCTCAATCGGGACGACTACTCCCTAAAGACACCTTGGTTCCTCCTCATCGAGCGTCGTTTGGGCCCACATTCAATCGATCTGTTCGCATACCTACATTCCCCTCACGCACGGTAGCCAGTGCCTGACGGCAGGCAATCACTCGAGTGCCTTTTCTGGCGACGGTATACCATGCAGTCCCATGGTTGCACTACGCGTGTCCTTCGCCTGCTAACCACGCTCGTACTGGATGCAAGATTGCTGGAAAAAGTCAAACATCGGCTACTAGAGATCACCACCCAAACGCGGGCCGACTCAACAATCCGCACGTATGAGCCCTACTGAGTCAAGTTCCGCTCTTTTGCCAACAACACAAGCTCAAGTTCCTCCCATGCACCGACATGTCGCTCGCCCTGTACCTGGTCCACGCCATCCAGCAGAAGGCCACGGTGTCCGCAATACAGTTGACATGCTCGGCAGTCAGCTTCGCGCATCGGTCGATCGGTGCATCATGCCCGTCCACTGGTCCATTCACCTTACAAGTCAGGGAGTTCGCGAAGAAGCAATGTCCGCATCCTGCCCGGGCCAAAGAACCTGTGTCACTACATCAAGTGCATGCGATGGCATCGGAATTTCTACAATCGGACAACCCTCGCGAATTTCAGAAGGGCCTAATTCCGATCTTAATGTACGCTGGGTTCCTGCGCTACTCCGATCTCGTAGTCATCAACTGGCATGAGATTCATTTCGAGTCAGAAGTCATGTGGCTCTTAATCCCCCGCTCCAAGACGGACCAGGCAGGAGAAGGCATATGGGTCCCGGTAGCTGTGTCTTCACACTGTCTTCACACACTCACTTCACACTCCCATCGCACCTGCACGGCCAGGCTTCGTGTGAGTCCGATCCACTGTCCTCCCTTCCTCCACTGCTCCACACTCAGCATCCGCTCAAAGCAATTGCACTCTCTACACACACACTCTCTTCACACACACTCTTCACACACATTCTCTTCACACACACTCTCTTCACACACACTCTCTTCACACACTCTCTTCACACACACTCTCTACACACAATCCGGGCCCTTTCTGCCCCGTTCGTTGCACCAAACACTTCATACACTTGGCGAAATATAACCACTCGCAACGAGGCCCGCTCATCCGCGTCTTTGGAACAGAGGCCGGAGAAGGCGGGATCACCAAGCCGCCATCCTACACCACAATTCGCAACTGGTGCAAGGAGGCATTTCATAAAATCGGTCTCAGTTTCGAGCACCTCGGAACCCACTCCTTCCGGAAAGGTGCAGCGACCGTCGCAGCCAACGCCGGCATACCTGACCGAATCGTGAAGCGATTAGGACGATGGAGAAGCGACACCGCGAAGGAGACGTACATCACGCCTGCCGCAGACCAACTGGTGGGAGCATCGAGACACGTCCAAGAACCGGCACGATCCCTCTCCCCTGCGCAACACGCCACGTCGCTGGCGCACCAACGGCGACCGACACGACACATGTCTCAGAAGACCCATTTGAAATGAGACGATGCCATTGCTACAACAAGAAAGCAAGCTTTCTAAATATGAATATTTTTTAAAAGCTGTAACGCTTTTCAAAATTGTGTATTTTGAAAGCGAAGCGGCTTGTAATGTAGCAATGGTCATCGGCGAACCGCGCTAAACGCCCGTTTTGGAGTACAAAACGTGGGCTGGAGGTCATTTCCCTCCACCCACGTCTCTCATTTTTCAAACGGTTTAGTCAAGTTTCCCATCCACCCACCCCCTAGAATAGTGAATAATAGTTAATTGTGCTACGAGAATTATCCTATGCTAGCTTGGACTTGTTTGTACTAACCCATTTGAAATGAGACGATGCCATTGCTACAACAAGAAAGCAAGCTTTCTAAATTGGAGGATAATGCTGACGGGAATTTTATTACTGCTGGACGACATGGATTGATGCAAGATTTTCCTGAAGTTGCTGTGCTCTCTAGAGCCAGGGCAGTAGAAGCTGGTCCTCATAGGCGTCGGAAAACGCCCAGAAGATTTTGTGCAATTCTCTTGTGGCAAGCTCGCTGGGACAGACCTGCTATTGTTACCACTTTCTACCGCTTCAACGTCAAAACACGGGTTGCTGAAACCACCTCACTCAACCACTCAGTGGTGGCGACTCAATCAAGGCTGAAGAAAACCACGCGGCAAAGTAGTGTCCACAGGTTACCAGATCTGAAATGTGGCAACTCTGCAAAGAAGGCCCCAAACGGGCAAGACAAAGGTTTTAGGCACTTGACTTTTAAGACTCCATAGGAATCTGGGAGGGTACGGTAGACACTAACGCTACCTATGCCCTCTAGCTCCGGTTACGACCGACGGTGTTTTGCGTTGTACGTTGTATAATGCTATTTCACCTACCCAAAAAAAAAAAATTGAGTAATAAGCTAGAGTAGTCCTCATAATGCATCAGATGCGCCGCTTGTTGTTATCAAGTATCGTTTTTTTTTCAATCCACAATGCGTCATAAATATCTTCCTATAACGGGGTGCTGGCAGCAACACTCATACGCTAACTAGAACATTCGCGAACGCCGCATTCTTTGGCCGCCGATCGCACGCTCTTCGCCAGCTATTCGTCACAACGCGAGGCACAGCTAAGCCCGAAACCTCTCGAAGCACAGCCGTTTGTGCTCTTGCTTCACTCCACCACTGCATTTAGACTTCTATCCGCCTGCACGGTAGCTTCATTCTACTAGACTCTCTTCCCTAGTTCGTCTCGCTGCTTTACTCTCGGAGGTTGTAAAGCAGATCGGAGCAGTCCAGTGAACCGCGCAGCACCGTACAGCACAGCCGTGCAGATCACAGCACCGCACGATGCTCTTCTGGGGTACGTGCATCTGATTAGCGCCGATCACACCACTCGGCGTTACGCCTCAAATCAACGAGTCCGATCGGGCTCGCCGTCTCGATTTCCTTGCGAATCTGCCTCGTCCTCGTTTGTCCGCAATGCGCGTTGGTCGCCCTGGTTCGTGCCTGTGCCTTCTTCCGCCCGTTTCCTCCTCCACCCCCTGCTCCGTCCCTTCTGCCACCCCGCGTGCCCGCTGCTCTACGGACCAGCCCACCAATCCCGTAGCGCCTTTAGCGATCGGCGATCCGTGGGGAGCGATCGGCGTATCGCCGTTAGCACCGGGGTCGCGGTTGGGATCCATGGGGAAGGGCTGAAGGCAGAGAAACCTGGCGGCTGTGGCTGCGTAGCATTCTCTTGCACCTGTTGGAGTGGTTGACTTAGAACAGGTGCAAGAGAATGCCACGTCATCAACCTCATTTGTTGATCGTCCGTCCGTCCCTCCGTTCTTTCTTTCCTCCCCTCTCTTTTCCCTCGTTACAATCACGTGCGCCAGGCGTGGAGGTGAAGCAGGGCGAGCCAATCGTGTGCGACCCTGAAGATGGTACCGGAGGGCCGCTCCACATCTCCCAGGTAAAACCTCCCCCATGTGAAACCTCCCCTTCATGAAATTTCCTCTCCCCCAGATAAAATCGTCACCAGGTAAAACCTCCCTCATTCAAGAATGATCACCGTCAAGACTTTCCCTAGATAAAACCTGTTCCCTATGGGACCTGCACCAGATGGTACCTGTACCAGACGGGCCGTTGAAGGGATAATGGCCATATGCGCTTGAAACTTCGAAACCCTGAGCCTCCTAAACCCCGTACCCTTCGAAATGGCTTCAAGCGTGTAAAACCCTGGACCCGTCGCCGCCCAACTGGAGCTGCTGCATACCCGCTGCATAATCGACATACAATCCTAGTTGTTTTCGTCTTCCTAACTGATTCAAGTGCTCCTGGTCCTACTCGTAACTCACCTCTTTGATACACCTACACCCAGGCTGTTCTTGCTTCAACCTGTTAAACCTTCTCTCCCTCACCCCTTTCCCCTTCCCCCGTTCCCCTTTCCCCTTTCCCCTCAGGCTGTTCTCGGGCCTGACCGCCCCCTGCGTAAACTCGTGCTGGTGCGAGTCAAAGCACTCCCACCCACCCATTTAACCTCCTTAAACCCTCAACCCCCTCCCCCCCACCCCCCCCCCCCCCCCCCCCCCCCCCCCCTCCCGTTCCCCACCCACACACCTCAGGCTGTCCTAGGGGCTGACTGCCCTCTCAACAAACGCGTCCTTGTGCAAGTCAGGGTGCTAGCCACGCATGAGGAGGGGGAGGAAGGGGAAGAGGGGGAGGAGGGGGAGGAGGCGGGGGAGGGGGAAGCATTAGAAACTAAGGGAACCCCGAAGGGCAAGGGAAGCCTGGGGGGAAAGGCAAGTCCGGGTGGAAAGGGCAGTCCTGCTAGCGTTAAAGGCAGTCCTGGGAGCAGCAGCAAGACTGGCAGTGCGGTCAACGGCTGCTGTGAGCCTAAGGGCAAGAGCCATAGTCACGGGGCGGGTGCTGCTGCTGCTGCTGGTGCTGCGGCTGATGCTAGCCGTCCGATCATGATCTGCTCGCTGACCGCGGGCGGCCCCATGGAATGCTGTCCGTTGGATCTGATGATGGACGAGCCGTTTGAGATCAGCCTGGTGGTACCCGAGGAGGGAAAAGGGGCAGGGGGAAATTGCTCGGTGCATTTGTCGGGGTATTACATGGCTGAGGGGGTGTTGGGAGGGGAGGAGGAGCATGGGGAGGAGGGAGAGGAGAGCGAGGAGGAGGGGGAGGAGGGAGAGGAGGTGGATACGGACGAGGAGGACGCACACCTGGCAGGACTGCCGCTGTAAGTTTAGATTACAGATAGCAGCAGCACTCATTCATTTTGTAGGCCCCCCAACTGAAAGGTGGATACGGGTGAGGCGGGGAGGACGCACACCTGGCAGGATTGCCGCTGTAAGTGTAGATTACAAAAAGACCAAAGTCTTCCTCTTCTAGCCATTTCTTGAGGCGCCTCAAAAGAGGTGGATACGGACGGGACGAGGTGTCAGGGTCTGTTTTTTTAGAATTCTCAAAAGACAGACTCACCATTTCTTGAGGCGCTTCAAAGAGGTGGATACGGACGAGACGAGGAGGACGCACACCTGGCAGGACTGCCGCTGTAAGCTGGATCTCGTTGACTAGTTGTTTATTTCTACATCAATCTTTTGTCTTACAATGGCATGCCAGTCAATCTTGTTGCCTGCACAACCCCTTTCCGCATGCCATCTGTTTTCCACCTGTTTCCGACCATGCCTGTTTTGAGTTTCTGAGTTGACTATAGAGCTGCTTTCCCTTCTCATATAATAAACCCGAAACCCTTCTACGTTTTTTTTTTTTTTTTTGTTTTTTTTGTTTTTTTTTTTTTTATGCCGGCTTTTTCCAACTGTGTTTTCTTTCCAGGGATTGGTCGAGGGCAATTGTAGATGATAGCGAGGAGGATGATGAGGAGGATGATGAGGAGGATGAGATGGAGGGAGTGGTGTTGGCGAACAGCAGCCAAACGGGAGGTATGTTTGAGTAGCGTGTTTTGCCTCCTGGTGGCTCCGGTTGAATGGCAGGGAGTGGTGCTTGTTGGCTAACGCAGGGAGTGGTGCTTGTTGGCTAACGCAGGGAGTGGTGCTTGTTGGCTAACGCAGGGAGTGGTGCTTGTTGGCTAACGCAGGGAGTGGTGCTTGTTGGCTAACGCAGGGAGTGGTGCTTGTTGGCTAACGCAGGGAGTGGTGCTTGTTGGCTAACGCAGGGAGTGGTGCTTGTTGGCTAACGCAGGGAGTGGTGCTTGTTGGCTAACGCAGGGAGTGGTGCTTGTTGGCTAACGCAGGGAGTGGTGCTTGTTGGCTAACGCAGGGAGTGGTGCTTGTTGGCTAACGCAGGGAGTGGTGCTTGTTGGCTAACGCAGGGAGTGGTGCTTGTTGGCTAACGCAGGGAGTGGTGCTTGTTGGCTAACGCAGGGAGTGGTGCTTGTTGGCTAACGCAGGGAGTGGTGCTTGTTGGCTAACGCAGGGAGTGGTGCTTGTTGGCTAACGCAGGGAGTGGTGCTTGTTGGCTAACGCTACCCAGTGTCCCCAAATCCCTTCATTCCCCATTGTCTCTCCCATCTCTCTGTCCCTCCTTTCTCTCTGTGCCTATTTTCTCTCTGTCCCTCCTGTCTCTCTGTTGCTCCGTTCTCTCTTCCTACTTTGCATCATCACGCAATTCCTCCCTCAACTTCTCCTTCTTTCCCTGCTCCGCACAGCGTACTCCCCACCTCTTCCCCCCTTGGTGATTCTTTTCGAATCAAAGCCACCTCAGTGCCTACTCCCCACCTCTCTCCCTTTTTCTTACCCCCCTTCTTCCTCCTCCCCCCTTCCAGTGCGTATAGTAGAGATTACGGACGAGGAGCAGGGAGCAGGGAAGGCGGCTGTAAAGGCTGTAGCATCTGTAGCAGCTCTCTCAACGCCGTGCCCGTGGTTCAGGAGCCCAGTGATTATGCTGGCGGCAGTATTGCCAACGGGAAGGAGGCGGCCGTAGCAGCCGTTTGCACATCTTTGCTTTGTCTTTCCCCCTCTCCTCGCCTCCCCCCACGCAACCCTTCCAGTGCGTATAGTAGAGATTACGGACGAGGAGCAGGGAGCAGGGAAGGCGTCTGGAGCAGCTGGAGCAGCTGTAGCAGCTCTCCCCAGCGCGGATCCCGTGGTTCAGGAGCCCAGTGCTGCTGCCGGTGGTGCTGCTGGCGGCACTGCCAAGGGGAAGAAGGGCGCTGCAAAGGATAAGAAGCAGCAGGGGCAGCAGGAGAAGGGGCAGGAGCAGGGGAAGGGGAAGGAGCAAGGGAAGGGAGCAGCGGCGGCAGGGGCAGCAGGGGCGGAGAAGAGGAAAGGAGAGGCGGGTGCAGCAGGAGGGGAAGCAGCGGCAGCGGCACCACCAGGGAAGAAGAGCCGCGTGGCCGAGCACAAGTGAGACCACTGTACCCCTTTTTGAGACTTTTTTTAGAATAATGTGCTGAAGTGCGACCACCGGCTTCTTTCTTGAGACGTCAGGGCAAAGCAGGTAGAGCAGGGATGGCAGGTAGAGCAGAGAAAGAAGGTGGAGTGTTTTCTACATTTCTCAGGAACTCTTTTCCCTTCCTCTCCCTGTTAACTTCAGGGATGCCAAGGCAAAGCAGGCGGAGCAGAAAAAGAAGGCTGAGGAGGAGAAGAAGAAGAAGCAGGAGGAGGTGCAAGCAAAGAAGAAGCAAGCAGACGAGGAGAAGAAGAAAAAGAAGCAGGAGGAGGACGCAAAGAAGAAGAAGCAGGACGGGGAGGCATGGGCAAAGGCGAAACAAGCAGCAGCCGCAGGGTCACCAGGAGCAGGGGAGGAGAAGCAGGGGAAGACGAGGAAGCGGGTGTTTCCGGGCGGCATGGAGGTGGAGGAGCTGAGCATGGGCAAGCCCGATGGGAAGGTGGCAGAGCCGGGGAAGAAGGTGAGAATGGAGGGATTGGCTGTGTGTATGTGTGCTTGCTGCAAGAAGGGGTGGAAGGGGGTATGGAGGTGGCGGAGCTAGCAATGGGCAAGCCCGATGGGAAAGTGGCTGAGCCGGGGAAGAAGGTGAGGTTGACGGAAGGGCTAGGAGGAGTATGTGTGTTTGTTCCCTGGGTGCTTTGGGGTCAGGGCATGCCGTGGATTGGAAGGGGGCATGGAGGTGGAGGAGCTAGCAACGGGCAAGCCCGATGGGAAAGTGGCTGAGCCGGGCAAGAAGGTGAGAAAATGTTGTGCGTGCAGGCAGCTGGGTGGGGGGGGGAACGCAGGCAGCTGGGTGAGAAAATGGTGTGTGTGCCAAGGTTGTTCCGGGAGGCATGGAGGTGGAGGAGCTAGCAATGGGGAAACCGGATGGGAAAGTGGCTGAGCCGGGGAAGAAGGTGAGACGGGTGGAAGGGGAGAGGTGAGTGTGCTTGCATTGCATGGTCATGTCCCCTGGGTGATGTAGAGGGTCTTGAGTCACATCATGTTCCTTGGCTTAATGAGGGGCATAGACGACTTGTGAGACGTCTCAAAAGTCATTGCACGGTCATGTTCCCTGGGTGATGTTGAGGGTCTTTTGAGTGAGGGATCATGGTTATCGGCTTGGTTGGTGAGGGAGGGGCATGTTTTGAGTCGACTCAATACTTGAGTGAGGTATCATGCTCATTGGCTTGGTGAGGGGCATAGAGGTGGAAGAGATGAGCGGTAGTACCTGAGGCGATTTTTGAGTCGACTCAAAAATCGCCTCATCACACGTGGGAGAGACGAGCGGTAGTACCTGAGGCGATTTTTGTGGTGGAAGGGCTGGGCTGGGCTGGGCTGGGCTGGGCTGGGCTGGGCTGTCCGGAAAAGCCACGTGATAGAAGTAGCGTTTTGAGACGTCTCAAAACTTCACTTTCTACAACAAGTAGTGTTTTGAGTTGAGACGTCTCAAAACACTACTTCTATCACCTGGGCTGTCCGAAAAATGCCGCCTGAACGCCCCCCCTCCACACCACACACCCCCTTGACCGCCTCTCAGGTAATGATGACCGCCTTTACTTTGGTCGCCTCAAGAAGAACGGCAAGGTCTTTGATACCTTCAACCCCCTTCCTCCCTCCTCCATCCCCTCACCTCAAGTGATGATGAATCGGTCGCCTCAAGAAGAACGGCAAGGTCTTTGACTCCACCCTCACCCATCCCAACCAACCCACGCCCCCCCCCCTGCTTAATCCCCTATTAACAAACCCCTCTCCCCCACCCCATCCCCCTTGCCTCTCAGGTCATGATGAGGTACATTGGCCGTCTCAAGAAGACAGGGAAGGTCTTTGACTCCAACCTCACACATCCCCAACCGTTTGCCTTCCGCCTTGGTGAGTGCTCTCTCTCAGTGTGAATGTTTAATTTCTTAGTTACCACAATCAGTGAAACCGCCTTGGTACAATAATGGCCTTCTCCTTGATCACACCAGGTGAGCGTTTGTCCAAACCTGCTTCCTCTCTACATCTTCTTTTCATCGTCTTTTCGTCTTCGTTTGATAGTCTTTCCATCTTATTTTCATCTCCTTTTCGTCTCCTTTTCATCTTCTCTACATCTTCAACCCATGTGGCAGGCGTGGGAGAAGTGATCAAGGGGTGGGACGTCGGCGTGAAAGGTGTGTGTGTGCGTGTGGGTGGGTTGGGATGAAGGAAAGGGGGAAGACTGGGTGTGGGTGCTGGGCAGGCGTGAGAAGTGATCAAGGAGTGGGATGTCGGTGTGAAAGGTGTGTGGGGAATGGGGGGAGAGGTGGGAGGGGGGAAATGGGTGTAAGGGAAAGGGGGAGAGGCCTTTATGGGTGTACAGATGTGCGCACGTGCATGTGTATGCGTGTGTGATGTGTATGTGTGCATGCCATGTGTATGTGTGCATGCCATGTGTATGTGTGCATGCCATGTGTAAGTGTGCATGCCATGTGTAAGTGTGCATGCCATGTGTAAGTGTGCATGCCATGTGTAAGTGTGCATGCCATGTGTAAGTGTGCATGCCATGTGTGTCTCTTGCTTCTCGCCTTTGCCTGCATTCACTGCTTTAGGGTTTACAGTGACCCTCGTCTCCCATTGCTTTCCACAGTCCCAGCCCTCTTGATGCCTTCACCTTGCAGGCCGGTTCTTCAATTTTCTTCATTTCAAACTTTGACATTTGTTTTCCATTCTTGTACAACTAGTCAATCCATTTCTTGCATCTTGCTCCCTGGGCTAAACCCTAAACCCGGGTCTCACCCCTCTGTATGCCTTCATCTTGCTTGGCCATGCAGGCATGCGAATTGGTGACAAGAGGCGCCTCACCATCCCTCCTGCCCTCGGGTATGTGCCATGCTGCTGTGCTGTTGGTGCTTCGTATGGTGCCGGGCTGTATTACCCGTGCATGCATTCTCCTGCCTTTATCTTCTCAAGTCACCCATGCTCGAAACCTTTCAAGTGCCCCATACCCTACATACAAGGTGTATCAAACGACTTTCTTTATTGCAGAAAGGTGCATTGATGGGTGCGGCACTGATGCCACCGTTGTCTCTCTCACGGACCCATATGCTGACTGAGGATGTGTCTCTTCTCACAGCTCTACTTATCTCGCAACGCAAGTAGAAACCCTTCCTTTATCCTGGGCTTCTTTTTCCTGCAGGTACGGCTTCAGAGGGGCCCCGCCCAAGATTCCCGGCAACGCCACTCTCGAGTTTGACGTGGAGCTCATTGGCGTCAAGTGATAGCTAGCTGGTAACCAGCAGTTCCAGTGCTGTAACCACTGAGCTTGGGTGTGGTAACCATCTGCATGAATTCTGTGGTAAAAGGAATCACTGGACGATCCGTGGTGTCAAGTGAATGTGATTCTTGTTTTAACGCGACTCAATAAGCTTGGTGCATCAACGGAGAATGAGGGATTTAGTCGTTTCTCCTTGCTTGGCAACTAAAGAGAGGCAAATTAAAGTGGGAGGAAGAGATGCATATCTCAGTGTTCTAGGAGTACTCTCTAGTCTGCTTGTTCAACAAGTACTGTAGCAGACACATAGGGTGCAGGGAACTCGTACAGAAAAGAACGAATTAAAAGGTGTACGCTACCTTGCTGAGGCAGTGCTACATAGAAAACAGTATAAAACATCATGTATACACTACTACATGTAGGCTGCAAAAAAATAAGGGGGGGTAGCACGTAACCTGGTGCTGCCAATGTCGCAGCACAGCACAGCGAGAATCAGATAATTAGATAGAATGGGCAAATGTGGAGCAAATGCAACAGGCCCACAAATAGCTAAGAGTAGGCGACTTGATGGTCATACCGTACCGTATTCAGCTTTTTGCGGCGTCTCAAAAGAGTGAGCGGTCGTATTCAACCTTTGCACCTTATCTTAGGCCATGAATGAATTGCATACTACCAAATACGGTAAAATGGACGAGTCTATCAAAATACAATTTGGAGAATGGGGAGGGGGAGAGAAGAGCAGAGGAGGGAGGTGGAGTGAAGGGGAGTGGAGGGAAGAGAGGAGGGAACAGTAACTGGGAGGGGATTGGCGGAGTTGAGAACACGGATCATGATGCGCAATTGACCAGAGGAGGGTCAAGGGTGAAGGGAAGGGAAGGGAGGAGTGAGGGAGAAGAGAAGGTAGGAGGAGAGGACTGCACTCCTGAAGCCACATTGTGGCCACATGGTGGCCTCCAAACCAACCCCTTCACCACCACAACGGCCCCAGAGACGCCAAGCCCCCATCATCCCCAGCGCCCCCCCAGAGACCCCCAAGCCCACCCCAAGCCCGCCCACCCACGGAACTCCCGCCAGCCTGAAGCCACATGGTGGCCTCCAAACCAACCCCTTCACCACCACAACAGCCCCAGAGACGCCAAGTCCCCGGCACCCTCAGAGCCCCCAAGCCCACCCTCCCACGAGCCCCCTCGGTTGTGCGACATGGCTGGGCGAGTCGCCTGGACTCTCAGACAGCACTCCTGTTAGCCAGCAGTCCCATTGTGCCTTCCGTGGCAGTCATACCATCACCAACCCCCTCACCCTTCACCAACCCCCTAACCCTTCACCGACCCCCTCACCCTTCACCAACCCGCTCACCCTTCACCAACCCCCTCACCCTTCACCAACCCCTCACCCTTCACCAACCCGCTCACCCTTCACCAACCCCCTCACCCTTCACCAACCCCCTCACCCTTCACCAACCCCCTCACCCTTCACCAACCCGCTCACCCTTCACCAACCCCTCACCCTTCACCAACCCGCTCACCCTTCACCAACCCCTCACCCTTCACCAACCCGCTCACCCTTCACCGACCCCTCACCCTTCACCAACCCGCTCACCCTTCACCAACCCCTCACCCTTCACCAACCCCCTCACCCTTCACCAACCCCCTCACCCTTCACCAACCCGCTCACCCTTCACCAACCCCTCACCCTTCACCAACCCGCTCACCCTTCACCAACCCCTCACCCTTCACCAACCCGCTCACCCTTCACCGACCCCTCACCCTTCACCAACCCGCTCACCCTTCACCAACCCCTCACCCTTCACCAACCCCCTCACCCTTCACCAACCCCCTCACCCTTCACCAACCCCCTCACCCTTCACCAACCCCCTCACCCTTCACCAACCCGCTCACCCTTCACCAACCCCTCACCCTTCACCAACCCGCTCACCCTTCACCAACCCCTCACCCTTCACCAACCCGCTCACCCTTCACCAACCCCTCACCCTTCACCAACCCGCTCACCCTTCACCAACCCCCTCACCCTTCACCAACCCCCTCACCCTTCACCAACCCCTCACCCTTCACCAACCCGCTCACCCTTCACCAACCCCTCACCCTTCACCAACCCGCTCACCCTTCACCGACCCCTCACCCTTCACCAACCCGCTCACCCTTCACCAACCCCCTCACCCTTCACCAACCCCCTCACCCTTCACCAACCCCCTCACCCTTCACCAACCCCCTCACCCTTCACCAACCCCCTCACCCTTCACCAACCCGCTCACCCTTCACCAACCCCTCACCCTTCACCAACCCGCTCACCCTTCACCAACCCCTCACCCTTCACCAACCCGCTCACCCTTCACCAACCCCTCACCCTTCACCAACCCGCTCACCCTTCACCAACCCCCTCACCCTTCACCAACCCCCTCACCCTTCACCAACCCCCTCACCCTTCACCAACCCCCTCACCCTTCACCAACCCCTCACCCTTCACCAACCCCCTCACCGCCACGACCACTGCCCCCAGCGCCCCCAGAACCTCCAAGCCCGGCCTCCCAGGAACCCCCACGGTTATGCGACAGGCCAACCCCACTATGACTGGGTGAGGCGCCGGGACTTTCAAACGGGCGGCTGGGACTGTCAAGTGGGCGGCCAGGGCTGTCACGCAGGCGGCTGGGGCTCTCCCCCGGGCGGCCGGGAGATGACCGGGCGGCGGGCAATGCCCCTCGTTCCGGGCTGGCGGGCGGCAGAGAGGAGGACGCATGCAGCTTCTTGGTCAGCCAGCCCCGCAGGCCGGCTTTCTTCGTCCCCTTCTTCTTCCCCTTCTTCCCTCCACCACCACCACTGGTGCTTCCGTCCCCACGGTCCCCTTCGATGCTCTCTCCTTCCACACTCTCCCCGTCGATACTCTCCCCCTCGGTATCCTCAGCATCCCCCCCTCGCTCTGACATTGACTCTCGCTCGCTCACTGAATCCCCGTCACCCTCCTGCTGCTGCTGCTGCTGCTGCTGCTGCTGCTGCTGCTGCTGATTCTGATACTGCTGCTGGTACTGATACTGCTGCTGGTACTGCTGCTGCTCCTGCTGCTGCAGGCTGCTGCTGCTGCTCCTGTTGCTTCGAACCCCTGTGCTGTTCCTGTTGCTACCACCAGCATCACCACCAGCACCACCACCACCATCAACACTACCCTGCACACTCCCCCCCCCACTCATCCTCCCCATGGACCCTCCCACCGCTCCCAACCGTCCTGCACCGCCCACTCCCCCATTAGACCCAGCAGCAGCGCCCAGTTGCTCCTTGGTGGCAGCAGCAGCTGCAGCTCTGGCTGCTGCAGCTGCCACGAAGCTGCTCCCCACAGTACTCTCCTTCTCTCCCTTCTCCTTCCTCCTCCTCTCCTTCTCCCTCTCCTTCTCCTCCTTCTCCTTCTTCTTCTCCTTGCCTTCCTTGCTCTTGGCACCTCCTAGAGACTTGCTGATTCCAAACAGCAGCCCCTTGCCCTTGCCCTGAACCCCACCTGACGACTGCGACTCAAGCTGCTTCTCCTCCTCCCGTCTGCCACTGCCACTGCCACTACCACTACCACCTTCACCCAACCCAGCACCAGTGGCAGCATCGAGACCAGAGTCAGCACCAGTAATACCATCACCATCACCACCAGAAGCAGAAGCACCAGCAGGGGCACCCGCACCAGCACTAGCAACAGCGCTGCTGCCCTGGATAGAGAGATAGTAAGCCCGTTTCTCATCTCCTTGCCCATCCCTAGGTTGCAGCCTGCTCTGCCCACCCTGCCCAGTCTGCCCACTCTGCCCACTCAGCCCGCTCTGCATCAGCCCCACCTCCTGCTCCTCCTCCGCCCCTCGGCTACTCACAGGGGTGCTGCTGCCGCTGCTACCAGCCCCGCTGCCAAACCCGCTGTTCATGCCGCTGTTCATCCCACTGGCAGGGTCGCTGCGGTAGCTATGCGGGGTCCCTGTACCTGTGCCTGTGCCGCCCGTGCTGCCCACGTGCGGCATGCCCAGATGCCGCCCTGACGCCCCTGCTGCTTCGGCTTTCTGGCGGGCTGCGGCTGCTGCCGCAAAGACAAGGCTGCTTCCCACGTTGCTCTGCCGGCCCTTCTTCTTCTCCTCCTTGGGCTGCTGCTTGCGCTGCTGCTTCTGTGACTCCTGCTGCTGCTGTTGCTGCTGCTGCTGCTGCTGCTGCTGCTGCTGCTGGAGTTGCTGCTGCTGCTGCTGCTGTGGCTGCGGCTGCAGCTGCTGCTTCTTCTGCTGCTGCTGCTGCTGCTGCTGAGAGAGTTGCTGGTGGTGCTGGTGATGAGGAGACGTGTTGGAGAGCGACTGGCTGTGATGAGAACTGGAGGAATGAGCGGGGGATGAAGGCTCCATGGTTCCCTTGTCCCCATGCCCACCCCCATGCCCATGCTCATGCTTTTCCACACTGCCACAGCTGATTTCGCTGCAGCTGCTACCTGCCCCTGCTGCAGCCGAACCTGCTGCCGCCGAACCTGCGGCTGCCAAAGCAGCAGCTCTGGCTCGGGCCGCAGCAGCAGCCACAAAGTTGCTCCCGACGTGACTCTCCTGCTTTTGCTTCGCATGCTTCTGCCCTGAGAACAGCCCCAAGCCATGCCCATGCTCATGTGACAAATGTGAGTGTGCATGATCGTTTGCATGTGCATGCGCATGTTCATGTGCAGGCGAGGCTGCATGGCCATTCTTAAACCCCCAGTTACCGAAGACCCCATGCTTGTGATTACCGTCTTGATTCTGCACACCCCCATGCTCATGCTGCTTTCGCCCTGGTGATGCGTGCACACCATGCCCTGGTGATGCATGCATGGCATGTCCTGGTGACACATGCACACCGTGTGGTGCTGACCCATGCATGGCATGCCCTGGCGATAGATGCATGGCATGCCCATGCTCCCCATCTGCCCCATGCACCACCTGCCCACCATGCCCCCCACCCGCATGCCCTTCTGCCTGCCCGCCACCCCCATGCCCATGCCCATGCCCATGCCCATGCGCATTGGCATCAGCCGATCCTGCCCCCGATCCTACCCCCGATCCTGCCCCCTCACTATGAGCTCCGGGTGCCGAAGCAGCAACTCTGGCTCGGGCCGCAGCAGCCGCCACAAAGTCACTGCCGACATGACTCTCCTGCTTCTGCTTCCCATGCTTCTGCCCTGAAAACAGCCCCAAGCCATGCCCATGCGCATGATCGTGTGAGTGAGAGTGTGCATGTGCAAGTGCATGCTCGTTTGCATGGTGGTGCAGTGCGTGTGCAGGCGAATGTGCATGGTCATGTGATTGTGCCTGCCCATGCTGCCCGTGCTGCTGCCCGTGTTCCTTGTGCTCCTTCCCCTTGATCAAATTCCCAATCCACCCGCCTGCGTTGAACCGTTTCCGTTTCTCCTCACTCGGCGTGTGCCCCTCTGCGTCCGACCCATACCCTGCAGGTGTGAGTGGGGACGGCTGGAGAGGAAGGTCTAACAGGGAGTGCTGGTTGCTGCTGTTGTTGCTGCCCCCACCTTGGTACTCCTTTTGCTTATTCATGTGCTGCTGCTTCAATTGCTGCTGCTGCTGCTGGTGTTCCTCCTCGTCCTCCTGATCCTGCTCCTGCTGCTGCTGCTCCTCCTGCTTGTGCTGCGACTGCAGGAACGTCTGGTGCTTGTACGTGGCATCACCGTGCCTATTGTAAACCATGCCGTCACCAGTGCCACCACCCCTACCACCCACACCGCCCTTGTCAGTGACACAAGTGCTCACACCCGCATCAGCCACAGGTGTTGCTTCCCCTGCTACACCTGTAACTGGCACCCCAGTATATCCTCCTGCTCCTCCTGCTATCCCTCCTGCTGCTGCTGCTGCTCCTCCCGCTCCTGCTGCCACTGCAACTGCAGCAGCCGCAATCTCTGCAGCAACTAGCTTGCCTGCCGCATCAGGTACAGCTGTCACAGATACACCCTCCTCCTTTGCCTTACCCCCCTCCTCTTCTCTCCTCCCCTTCTCCCCTTCCTCCTTTCCTCCCCCACTCTCCCCCTCTCCTCCCTCCGCTTTCTCACTCTCAGCAACCATCTTCTCCCTCCGCTCCCTCGCCTCCTTCCGCCTCGCCCGCTCCTTCTTCCTCCTCTCCTTCCGCTCCTCCTCCGTCTCCTCCTCCTCCTCATCGTCATCATCCAAGGGGATTGGGCAGTCCCCATCGGGATTCACGAGATACGCCTGGGGCCCATCAGGGTACCTGGAAGGGGGTTGACAGACGCAAAAAAAGCGGACAGGGTGAGAAAATACTTTCCTTCCTCTCCTCCTCCGTCTCCTCCTCCTCTTCATCGTCATCGGCATCATCCAAGGACCGAGGGAATCGGCCAGTCCCCATCAGGATTAACGAGGTTTGCCTGTGGCCCATCGGGGTACCTGCATGCATTGAAGAAACGCAGGGGGGGGAGATTGAGGGGTGCAGGGGGCGCGGGGGTCACGAACAGACAGTCCCCATCCGGATTAACGAGGTATGCCTGTGGCCCATTGGGGTACCTGTGAGTTGAGTTGACAAGGGTGTCAAAAACGGGAACGAATGAGAACAAAGGGGAACGAATGAGAACAAAGGGGAACGAATGAGAACAAAACATTCCTTCTTCCTCCTCTCCTTCCGCTCCTCCTCCATCTCCTCCTCCTCATCGTCATCATCCAAGTTGATCGGACAGTCCCCATCAGGATTCACAAGATATGCCTGGGGCCCAAATTACTCTCCTTCCTCTCCTCCTCCGTCTCCTCCGTCTCCTCCTCCTCCTCATCGTCATCATCCAAGGGGATCGAGCAGTCACCGTCAGGATAAACAAGGTATGCCTGTGGCCCATCGGGGTACCTATGGGTTGAGTTGACAAGGGTATCAGAAAGGGGAACGAATGAGAACACAGCATTCCTTCTTCCTCCTCTCCTTCCTCTCCTCCTCCGTCTCCTCCTCCTCCTCATCGTCATCATCGAAAGAAATCGGGAAGCCACCATCGGGATTCACAAGATAAGCCTGGGGCCCACTCACGGGACCTGTGGGGTTGAGAAACGCATCAGACAGGAGAAAGAGAGACACAATGCTCTTATTGAATCGACTAAAGAACGGGTATGCATACGTGGGTGGGTTTACCCCGGGTTCCCTTACAAGGTAAACCAGAAAATGCTTCACTTTTTATTTTGTCAATGGCACACAGCAACATTGATTCATACACACGGTATAGATGACTCCAACACGCCTTCTATGCCAGCGCTATGACCTTCCCAACGCACTTCGTCACACCCCAACGCACCTCTCTCCACTCCACACCCCATCGCACCTCTCCACACCCCCCGCACCTCCCCACACCCCACCTCACCTCATCACAACGTCACGCACCTCTTCACGCAAGTCAAGGACGATCCCACCACACCACGCCTCGAACTCCACTCGTCAGCCCAGCAAGCGCCTCCCCCAGCATCACCCGCCCCTCCTCCGTCACCCGCCCCTCCTCATTCGCTCACCTCGTTACTATACCGCTTTACACCGCAATGCACCTCTTCACACCGCAACGCACCTCTTCACACAAGCCATGGACGATCCCACCACGCCTCGAACCCCACTCGCCAGCCCAGCAAGCGCCTCCCCCAGCATCACCCGCCCCTCCTCCGTCACCCGCCCCTCCCATCCTCCCTGGCCGCTCAGAGCCTTAGCGGAGGAGTGGGGTGTGATTGTAACCCCTGTGACTGTAGCGAGCGCCTGGGAGAATCTTCTTAGAAGGTCTCGGGCGTGGGCCTTGGAGAGCGGGTTGTATCCCAGCAGCACGAGGACCAACCCCGGGTTGTGCCTCTCAAACAAGACGATTATTCGACCGTATCCCTGAGAATAAGTGGGGGTTTAAGGGGGGGGGGGAGAGGATGAGGGATAAATAGGAAAGCGAGTTGTAGCCTAGCAGCACGAGGACCAACCCCGGGTTGTGCCTCTCAAACAAGACGAATATTCGACCGTATCCCTGAAATAAGGGGGGACCGAGGAAGGGAGGAGGGCGTGGGCATTGGAGAGCGGGTTGTATCCCAGCAGCACGAGGACCAACCCCGGATTGTGCCTCTCAAACAGGACGAATATGCGACCATATCCCTGAGAGGTGAGGAGAGGGACGGGAAGGAGAGGGTAGAAGGAAGGGAGGAGGGCGTGGGCATTGGAGAGCGGGTTGAGACCCAGCAGCACGAGGACCAACCCCGGACTGTGCCTCTCAAACAAGACAAATATCCGACCGTATCCCTGAGGATCAGGTGGGAAGATATAAGGGAAAGGGAGGGGGAGGGGGGAAAGGGGATAAGGGGGAGTGGGGAGAGGAGAGAGAATGGGAGAACGAGCGCATGGGCCTTAAAGAGCGGATAGTAGCTCAGCAGCACGCGGAGAATGCCTGGTTTTTAGAGTAACATCCCATGTGCCTTCTTCTCGTTCCCCCTTCCCATCTCTCTCACCCCCCCCCCCCCCAAAAAAAAAACACCCTCTTCCCTCCTCCAAAACTTCCTGCTCTCGCTTTCCCTTCTCTTTTTTCCAAACATTTTATAAGAGCACTCACCATGAGGAGAAAAAAAAAAAAAAAAAAAAGACCAGCTTTTATTCTACAATGAGGGAAAACGGAGCTACAAGAGCAACGAGAGGAACGACGAACTAGAGACGAAAGATATGAAGAGCATCACATTTAGATAAACAATTTATACTCCAGACGGAGCTGTAAAATCGTCAGACGGACTCCATTTCCGACATGCTTTCTTGAACAGTATACTCGAAAAACAAATAGCTAAAAGACGATTCGTGGTATGGTCCTTGGTGGTTCCGAATGCTAGTATTTTATTCGTCTCCTATGCTTCATGAGGATACATTCACAAGATAACTTTCAAGAATAAATTATAACGTCTACTCGCTAAACTCATGGACTTACCATGGAATATTGGGCGAAATGATGTGGCAAGTTCTCGAGAGCCTTCGGCAATGCATCGCGGATAGCGTCAGCATCCCTCCCGTATTCCGCCAGAATCCCCGCGCCATTAGCCGCTCCGATATAACCTACAAGCTCCTGCTCTTCCTGAGGCTCGCTCTCATCCGGCTCTATGTTTCCGCCTGCCGGCTTGTCCGGATCTTCCGGAGCCAATGGGCCTTCCACGTCATCGACGACATTTTTCGGCGCAAGACCGTTTTCTTGCGTCGCATGTATGATTTTTTTCTGAGATTGATTGGCTTCTGAGATGTTTGGTTGTTGGACCTCCACCCCTCTCTCCATGGTGGAGGTATCACAACGGCACAAGCATTTAGGAACAGAACATCGATAAATACGAGGCGACGAAACCCTAAAATATGGAAACGAGGGTCACGAACGGGGTAAGAGGACGTAAGG